TAGTCCCAGGAAAGAAGAGTGCCCTCACCAATGCAGGTGCCCATCATAATATTCAATGAGAGCCAGAATAAAACAAAAAGACCCTGCTCTTTGTTTGAGTTGGACATCTATCATCTCCTGCCCTTAGACTTTGATGCTTTTACTCTCAGGCCTTCAGACCAGGGCTGGGGTTTACACCATTGGCTCCCCAGTTCTGAGGCCTTTGGACTCAGACCAGGACCAGAACTTACACCATTAGCTCCCCTGGTTCAGGCCTTTGGGTTTGGATTAGAACTATACTGTTGGTTTTCCTGGCCTTTTGCTTGCAGGTGACAGATGGTGGGACTTCTCAGCCCCCATAATCCTGTGAGCCAATCCCTGGTAATAAGTCTCTTTCTCTATATCTCCATGTATCCTATTGATTCTGTTTCTCTGGAGACCCTAATACAAACCTCAGTTCCCCTTTCCCATATGTTCTGCAAACAAACTGTTCTCATTGCCTCCCGCCCACCCCGGCTTTCCTTCTGCTGATGTGTATGGCGGGTGTCTCAGTACCCTTCCCTCCCCCCATTATTACCTCTGACTGCGCAATGGGGAGTGGGACACCACAGGTCAGCAAATCCATCTTCCACTGATGTCAACTTCACTGGAAAAGTTTTGGAGGGGAGACTACTACTACAATATATATCCACCTCAGCAGGAGAAAGTCTACTTTGAAGACGAGTGTTTTTTTATCTTTCAAATTAATGCAAAGAAATTCTTGCTTGCAGCAACTGTATCCAGAGATAGCGCTGGACATTCTAAAGACAGCTCAGTCTCCTTGGCAGACTGTGGGGGTTATTTGCAGAAATACAACCCTCATTATCTGAAAGGCTTGTAGGGTGTCTACCAGATGCCCCAGGACAATGTACTGAGTTCTTGTGTTTCTCATGCATTGTTAGATAACTCTTCTAGTCTATCCTGTTAGGTTACACCCACTTTGAAGCTTTTGTAGTAGTTACAGCAAGTACCTACTATGTGCCCGGAGTAGGGCTGGGACAAGGCTGAGGCCACCAAGGTACCTAGTATAGAAAACTCAGGGGCGCACCCGGTAACAACCTTATACTTAGCAGGACCCTGAGAGAGAAGGCCTTGTTGAATTTTGTACCAGAGGTTCCTGGCCTCTTGTTGGTCCAGCCCGGCCTGGTTCTTTGAAGACATTTTCTCATGTGTTTTGTCACAACAGACTCATTTTACGGGTAGGGAAAATCTAAAGCACACGGTGGTTAAGAAACTTGCTCAGGATCCCACAGCTGGTTCCAGCACACTATTGCCTGACACTCACTTTATCTCCTTTACTTTTCCTACAGCCCTGAGGCCGTGATCGGTCACGTAGAGTATTGGTTCAAGAGTATTGGCCAATTGCTGAATTCCCGGGAATTCTGTGAGTCAGCTGTTAAACAGCCATCATTAAATAGTCAATGAGACAACCATAATTAATTAAATAAATTATATCAGAAGCAAATGTAATAAGTACCCCCAACCCAACCCTTTCTAGGTCTGATCCCCCACGATTGGGAGGGAATCCTGGCTCTGCCACTTGGCAGCTGTGTGCCTTCGCTGTTCTGTGAGAGCTAAGGAGTGAGGAGCCCTCTGGAGAATGGAAGGGTGGTGACGAGAACCCCGGATTCAAGTCCTGGTTTCACCCCTGCTATCTGTGTTTGTTTTCTCATTTGCACATTGGGAGCGATGCATAGATGAGCATATTGCCACTGATGGCAGTGTCCGCTGTATCCGTCACACGCTGTTGAACACATAGCTTGTGAACATTTGCTGAGCACTCATGATGTGCCAAGCATTGTTCTAGCCCCTTGCTTATATTTTCTTAGTGGTGTTCCAGCAACTCACTGAGATAAGGATTGTTTTTCTCCCGTTTTCAGTTGGGGAAATAGCCTCAGCACAATGAAGTACCTTTCTCAAGGTCACATAGCTGGCATGTGGCAAAGCCAGAGGTCCCTCTTGGACAATCGCTTGTACCTAGAAGATGCTTAGTGATCATGAATGACCAGCTCCTGCAGCCCCCCTGGGGCCCCGTGTCATTTTCCTTGGGAGCTTCTAGATCAAGTGTCAGAAGGCATAGAGTCCTTTCAACTTTTCAGATGGTGGATCCTAAAGCTGGCCGGGCCCCCGAGGAGGCAAGGGTCAGAATCCAGCCCCTGCACCCAAACCCTCTTGTCCTCCCTGTCTGAGGGCACCTGAGAGGTAGCTACAGCTGGTGCTTTGGAGCAAAACTCCCTCCTCTGTAGGGCGGGAAGAGGCCAGCTCCTCCCTGCACCAGCCGGATGCCACTTCTTCCGGTCATTCTCCAGGGCGGATACATTGTAGGAATCAGCCACGCCAGCCGCAAGGAAGAAAAACACCCGCTTCCCATACTCCCAGCACCAGCGGTGGAAAGCTCCAGGCTTGAGCTCCAAGACCTCTCCCTGGGTCCCTGGAGAAATAGGCTCCCTGAGGGGGGTGACATGCCTCTGTCGCCCACAGGGCCTGAAGGGGCTGAGGACAGAGGCTATTGCCCTGGGGCTGAGGAGGCAGTGGGCCCGGAAGGAAGGAGCTTGGCTTTGCGAACCAGGCAAACCTGAGTTTGAATCTCACCTCTGCCTCTTATAAGCTGGGTGTCCTCTACTAACTTCTCTGAATTTCAGTTTTTCCATCTGTAAAATGGGAGAATACCCAACTAATGGAGTCTTATAGACTTGGGGCTTAAAAGTCAAAGAAATGGGGGCACCTGGGTGGCGCAGTCAGTTAAGCATTGCTTTCAGCTTGGGTCATGATTCTGGGGTCCTGGGATGGAACCCTGCATCGGGCTCCCTGCTCAGCAGGGAGCCTGCTTCTCCCTCTCCCTCTTCCCCTTCCCCTGCTTGTGCTTTCTTTCTCTCTCTCTCTCAAATAAATAAAATCTTTTTAAAAAGTCAAAGAAATGTGTACAAAGTACATAAGACATAAATGGTGGAAGGATTGGAATAAATGGTAAGTGAATAAACACTCATGGCATTGTGTGCCAGGCACTGTGCTAGGTAAGGAAGGTCCCAATGGGGTGGACAAGAGTTGAGGACTCTGCAGAGGCAAAGAAACGAACCGAGAGATAAGATGCTGTGGGTGTGGTGCCGTGGTAGGGGTGTGGGGAGAGAGCAGGGAACACGGGACGGGGCCTCACTTGCCGGTACAGGCGCTCGCTGAGTTACTGCTGAGACCTACTATGTGCCTGTGGGTGTTACGGGGGATGCAGCTATGAATACAATCCAGCCCTTCCCTCTCAGACACTAACAGGCACAGAGAGTCAAATGACGGTTCGAGGGATAAAAGCCTTAGAGACTGGGGCACCTGGGCTAGCTCAGTTGGAGGAGTGTGGACTTTTGATCTTAGAGTCGAGTTCGAGCCCCACGTGGGGTATAGAGATTACTTGGGATAATGAAATAAATAAGAAAAGCCTTAGAGACTAAGGCATAAGAAATCACAGAGGGAGAAATGTGGCTTTTAACCCTCCTGAGAGGGACAGGCGACAGGGAGGACACTGGTTCAGACTCGCAGTAGAGTCCTGCAGGTGACAGGCTTCTGGGGAGTCCAGGGTGCTTCTCCGCCTTGTTTTAGCAAGGTGCAGGACGGAGGCCAGGCCTGGCCAGTTTGCTTTCTTCTGCCCAAGCAGTTCTTCCCCGGGTGCCCCCTCTCTGCCTCCGCTGCACCTGTCTCTACTGGACCTCAAAGCCATGCTGGGACCCTCCCCGACTTGTGTCCCCCCACTCACACCCCCCGGGAGTGCTGGGGGCATGCAGGGAGAGGGCGTGCAGGAGCTTGGGAAACAGAGCCAGTCCTTACACCCTTTGTGGGCTGGGGGGATTTGGAGAGGAGCTGGCCCTTGGTTACAGATCTGTCTCTCTCTTTGGCTTCCTCTTGTGCCACTGTCTCGTGGCTGAATCAGGTGGACCTCCCTGGGTTGAAGAGACTGTTTCAGAAAGAGTATAGGGAGTGCAAGGGTGGCAGGTTGGAAAACGAGGCCCTCCCCACACTTCCCAGGCTAGGCCCCTGCAAGCCACCTTGCTCCCTCAGAGGTCCAGATACATTCCTGCAGCTCCTCTGCTTCCCTTTGCATAAACTGTGTCTCTCTTACGGCACTTTGTCTGTCGTGTGACCGTGTGTTGGTGTCTGTGGACACAGCCTCTTGGTATATGTGACCTTCTGCTTTACCAAGGCACCACTTTTCTCCCCATCCAGGAACAATGAACCCGTAATAGGCCATAAAGAAGGCAACGTGGTGATATCCCACTCACCGATGCCTCCATGCCCACATGACATTAAAAAGGGATCCGTTGGGCAGCCCCGGTGGCGCAGCAGTTTGGCGCTGCCTGCAGCCCGGGGTGTGATCCTGGAGACCTGGGGTCGAGTCCCACGTCAGGCTGGCTCCCTGCATAGAGCCTGCTTCTCCCTCTGCCTGTGTCTCTGCCTCTCTCTGTCTCTCATGAATAAATAAATAAAATCTTTAAAAAAAAAAAAAGGGATCCGGTTTTGAAGTTAGAAGAGTGGCTGGAGTGCCAAGTCCACTTAGTCGTGTGGGGCGAGGTACTACTCACTCTGTGCTCGCCAGGCTCACACCTGTGTCTACAGGAGCACTGTCGCGTGGCACATACAGGGCTGTGTTTCCCCCGAGTGTATTTTCACGTTATAGATCACCTTACCCTCAGAGAAGGGGGACTCATTTTTGGGGCGAAATAGGCTGTTTCTGTGCTCCTGATGTGGGGGATGGCAAGGAAGGCACCACCAGAGTCCTGAGCTTTGCTCACGTCTGCAGTGGGGGTTATGTGTCTGACCCATTTAGCAGAGTTGCCATGAGTTAGGGGAGGGTCAGATGAGGTCTCTGCACGATGAGGAGCACGCGGTAAGTGCTCAGTAAACATTGGCCTGTGACAGGCTTGCATGAGCCTGTGGGGGGTGGGGAGACAGGAAGATGACATCCTTTCCCACTTGGTTCTTTCCGTGTTTTTCTTAGGAAGCCCGGTCCTGGGGCGGGGAGCTGCAGCCCCCCCCAGGGGCACCGTCCCTGCTCCTTCGCTTGAATGGACCTGGCCGTTGGTGGCCCTGGCTGGGTCCATGCCTGTGGCCACGACAGAACCACGACAGCGCATTTTGCAGCTCCTCAGTGTGGAGGCTTAACTTCACCGGCTCCGGGATTGTGGGGCCACCTCCTCCCACGACCGGGCCATGTTTTCATTCCTAACTGTCCTCACTAACCCAGAACACTTGGGATTCTCTTGTCTCCAGCAGAACCCCAAACACCTCCCACCCTCTTGTTGGTCTAGTGGTTAATTAAGTGTCTGTCAGTCACAGAAACCAGAGGCAGATATCAGATGACTGTTCACTCAGCCTTTTCCCGAAAGGCCCTTCTAGGCTGGTTTCCTCTGCTCAGCACAGCAGCTCCTCCACCGCCTGTCCTCTCGGCACGAGGGCGATGGGCCTGGGGCTGTGGGCAGCTGCGGGCCCTCTCCTGGAGCCAAGCGGGCAGCCAGGCTGCAGCAGGCGGCCCTATCTGGGAGAGGCCAGAGGCAAGCCGCCTGCTCATTATTGGGCTGCCGTGAAAACTTCAGCCCTGGAGGTCTTTCCCAAACAGGATAGAGTTTCATCTCTCTGGAATGTGTTAGGGCGGCAAGGCCTACCGTCCTCTCTGTCCAGATGAAATTCATCTTCCATGAAGGACCGGGCCCCACGTCTGAGCTCCACAGACTGCATAGACCTCCACGAATAGACCGTAGAGCTCCACTCCTGGCCGCGGAGACCATGAATGACTATCTTTCCCAGGTACGTGCTTATTTCTTGAACTCCCTGGAAGGGGAGGATTATGTGCCACGTCATAGCCACGCATCACTTAGCACGGCGCTGGATACTTCTTAAGCATCCGCTGAGGCCCCGTAGTAGTCAGGTGGCGGCCCCTAAGGGGGGAGCAGAGCTCGAGAGGATGGGGCACAGGGTTGGTAGGTTTTGAGGAAGTTGATAAAGGGCTGGCGATTGGGGTGTTGCCTAAGGAAAGTGGGCTCCAGAGTGGGGCGGGGCAGTGGAACTCAGTGCTGGGGACAACCAGAGGAGGTAGTAGCCTGGGGAGAAAGCCCTGGAAACAAGGAAGACAATTGGCTGAGGTCAGAGCTTGGTTGACAACCATCCCTGGAATCCCCCACGTGGCCCCTCTCTTTGTGTCAGACCTAGTGCGCCTCTGCTGACCTCCAGCTGGACGGGAGGGGGTCCAGGAGAAGTGTGAAGGAGATGTGGTTTCAGGAGAAATGGGAGCTTGGGTGTGCAGAACCAAAGGATGAGCCTCCAAGCCAGGAGTGATGCGAGGAGGCAAGAACTCAGAATGCCACAGGCCACAGGGCTTCCTACAAACCTGGGGATGCGGCCACACCCTGTGTCCCCGGGTTGGCAGACCTGAGCTGGTCCCTGGGGTAAAAAGGGAGAATGAATAATACTGGCCATGGCAGTGCTTCAACGTGAGTGGTGTTTCCCAGTTTACAGAGAGCTTTCACACCTACTAGCTCAGGAACAGGGAGAGGGTGGAGAGTTTCAGTTTCCTCTACCCCATCCACTTCCCGGAGGGCCTTAACCCTGATCCTCTCATTTCTCCTGCCTCTTTCCAGGACTGAGCACTAGTCCTGGATGTGCTGTCTCTAGCAGATTTCGAGCAAGGTGAGAGCAGCGGGGGACAAGGCTCTGCAGGGGTGCTCCTTAGAGCAGCCCCACCTCCTCTTCTTTAATCCTGCCCCTGCCCCTTCCCAGAGGCAGGTGCTCCCACACCTGGCTTACCTGGGTTCCCAGGAAGGAAAGGGAGGTTGGTTCCTCTTTCTGTGACTCCCAGAAGGGAAGAGATGGGGCTAGGAGGAGACCAGAGTTTCTGGTACCTTATTGGCATCACGATAATCTGTTTCTTTCCTCACCTGTTCTACCTTCTAGGTACACTCATGGCTTTCCATCTTGCTCTGCCAGTGGCTGTGTGGCTCTGCCAGCCCCACAGGTCAGCATCTGTTTCCCACACTGACTCAGATCTCAGCTTCCTTCCTGACAAATAGCACACGAGGCAGCCCCAATCCTGGCCTTGGTAAGTGCTCCGATACTCCTCCACAAGCATACTGATCTTTCCAACTTGGGGATTCTAGCTTCAGAAACTTCAACCAGCACCTGTAGCCTGCCCTGATCTGGCCAGGGCTGTAACAGAGGCAGAGGAAAGGTTTGCAGAAGCCCAGAAGACAAATGTTTTTGACAAGAAAACAGGCGCATGTATCAAAGAACAAGAATGGTTGACCACAGGGGAGAACTGCCTCCCGATGGGGCAAATAAGCCAACATGAAACACTGTGAGCTTAGAGTGTCGTGTGAGGAAGAGGAAAGTCGGCTGGGCCCAGATGTGCAGATCTGGTCTGGCTACATAGAAAGCACAAATAAATTTGATGTCTATGATCCTGAACTATCAAGACTGGCAGATCAGGACATGGATGTGTTCTTTGCACATCCAGTGGACTCACCTAGAATTTTCAGGCTAGGACATAAAAGTGCGTTGGATGGTCCCACCTATTTAAAAAAATGTCCTGTTGCAACCCAGATCCACAAGACATTGTCCCTTAGGAGTCACAAACAGAAGTATGGGGTATCATGAGTGTAACAGTCAAGCATAATGAGAAGTGGGGAGAAGGATCAGAGGGGAGGGAGATGGAGAATCTTAAGCAGCCTCCACGCTCAGCCCAGAGCCTGACTCAGAGCCCAATGCAGGGCTCGACAGGGGCAGGGTGGGGGTGGGGGTGGGGACTCGATCTCACAACGCTGATATCATGACCTGAGCGGAAATCAGGAGTCAGATGTTTAGCCGGCTGAGCCCCCCAGGCGCCCCAAGCACAATGAGAAGCCTTATGGGGAGAGCTGCGCTGCATGGGCAGAGTGGTGGAAGGTACTGCAGTCTGAAGAATTTGATGTCATCCACTGGAATCAGGTGATCACTTCCCCAATGAGAGTCAGTGGGGAACTAGAAGAAAAACATATAGTCAGTTTGGCTGGGACACATCTAGTGTGCAAAAACAAAGTCAGGGTATGTGCGGTTATGCTGTGGTAATAACCACAAAATCTTGGTGGCTCATGATAACAAAGGTTATTTTTCACTTGTACCACGTGTCTTTTGTGTGTTGGCTGTAGGTCTGCTCAGCGGTTTTTGCTCCTCAACTGATGGACAAATGTTGGGACTTTTCGATCTGGGACTCTGATGGTTTCATAGCAGAGGGAAGAGAGACACGATGAATCACTCACTGATCCTTAAAACTTCTGTCTGGAAGTGACACTTGTCATTTCTGCTCATGTTTCATTGGCTGATGCAAGTCATATGGCTGAGCCTAAACTCCCCCTGGGAGAGTAAAGGATAATTCTCCTCTAATGAACAGTAATAAAGTCTACCGTAAAAAAAGGCCCTAAAAGTCAGTTTCTGCTTTAGGCTATATTGGGGTCCGGCCTCACTAATTCTTATGAGATATAGAGACTTAAGAATCCAGTTGTGGACAATTGTCTTAAGTTGGAGTTATAGACCAGTCGCAGGAGTATAAGCTCCCGGAGGGACAAGTGTATTTCATTCACTGGTATATGCCAAAGGCTACGAGTAGGTCCCTCATCATATCTTTATTGCCGCATGAATTATAAATGCGTTCAAGACGCAATAAGATCCTTCCTGCCTCAGCCAAGGAGTATCTGTGTCCCATGTTGTGATATCTTTGGGTATAGAGATGGACATGATCAGAGAACCAGGTGAGTCAGGACTTCATCTTCTTCTTTGAGATGCTGTGTGTCCAGCCCAAGAGTCAGCAGACTGTCTATAAAGGGCAGACATAAAATATTTTAGGCTTTGCAGGCATCATATGACCTCAGTCACAACTATGCAAGTGTGTTGTGGTGCAAAGCACCCATAGACTGCGTGTAAATGATTGAGTGTGGCTATGTTCCAAGAAAACTTTATTTTTTTTTTTCCAAGAAAACTTTATTTGTGAAGACAGGCAGTGGGCCAGGATTGGTTGGGGGGTGGTCGTTTGCCCACGCCTAGTCTAGCCGCAAAGCTGGCTTCTCAAGCCATTCCTTTCCCCAGTGTCCTTTTCAGGACCATTTTAGAGGCATGCATTTATCACTCTCATCTCCAGAAAATGAAGTGCCACGACACTATAGCTTTGAATCCTCTTGATGTCTGGTTGGGATGTTCAGGGCTTTGGTTTATTTTCGTCCAGGGAGCATGTCCCTCCTGCAACAGCCTGACCTGGCCAGGTTTTGGCTCTCACTGTGCTGTTGTAAATCCCAGATGTTCCACTCTATCGGCATCCTCACTCGTCTTGCTTTTGGGGCATGTGCCCACTCTCCCTGTTTGACTTGCTCCCTGGACCCCTGGACTACTGTGGGGGAAGAGCAGGGCATGTGGCTGGGTGACGAGGAGGACCTCACCTCTCTCCTCACAGGTCAGCTGGTCTGAGAAGCACAGGAATCTATTTTCTTAGGGATATGGCTCAGATATTTTCATTTCATGGAACCTGATGCCTCAGAGTCACAGATTTTTTTTTTCTTTCAGGCTGGAATGCCTCCAGTATAATGTGACAGTCTGGAGAGTATTAGCAGCTACCCCTTCTTTCTGGGTCAGTACCAGGCTTATGTAATTAGAAGTCCAAAGAGGAAACAGGGAGACAGTCAGACTCACCCTGGGCAACAACCTTCCCCCCTCGCAGCCTTCTTTTTTTTAAAATGTTTTTTAATTTTTATTTATTTATGATAGTCACAGAGAGAGAGAGGCAGAGACACAGGCAGAGGGAGAAGCAGGCTCCATGCGCCGGGAGCCCGACGTGGGATTCGATCCCGAGTCTCCAGGATCACGCCCTGGGCCAAAGGCAGGCGCCAAACCGCTGCGCCACCCAGGGATCCCCCCTCTCAGCCTTCTAACTGGTTGTCACAGAATTCTAGACCAGGAAGAGATCTTGTACGTAATGACCTCTCCTCCATCTGGTTCCAACTGGAGATTTGAACACCATGAGGACCAAAATGCAGCCCTTTTGCCCTAGGTGTTAAAGGCAGGGCTGCAGACCCCATGGGCAGTCCGCATCCTATCCTTCAGCTTCCAGACTGCTGCCTGCTACCCCTCCCCATCGCCTCCAGCAAGATAAACACATCTGTAACCCCATCCTGAGGGGACCTGGGGTAAGGAAGGAGGGAGGAGGGAGCCTCCCCAGTACAGACAATCAGAGACTCGGCCTTGACTTGGGTTGTTATGATAGGACTGCCTCTCTTCTCCAGCTGGTAGGAGCACTGCACTGACCCCAGGGAGCTCAAGTCCTGGGGGAGGAGAGGCTTGGCCAGGGAGAAAAGATAAGGGAGAGAAGGGGAGGAGTCTGGTCAGCTCCCATCTCCTGGTTGCTGTTCCAGCCAAGTGGCTGAGCTGGAGAAAGAAAACTGATAACAGATAAGGATGCTTGCTTTCCTGTGGCCTTGTTTCCCTAAGCTTGGGTTCTTGCTGGTCCCTGGGGGCCCGGTGAAGGAGCTGTGTGCGTAGAAGGCAGTGCAAGGTTCCTTGCCTAAGATTTGCATTCAGCTGGTTGAAGTCTGCGGATGGCTTATAGACCTCCCCCTTACCTCCCAGCCCCACTCCCAGACTTCCTGCAAGAAGCCAGCTAGACAATGGCTTGAGCTGAAATACAAGGCTTTCCACCCTTGGAGTGGGGCCTCTCACCCAAAAAGCAGAGGGCATGGTGACTCTGTCTCTTACCTGGCCTCCTTGGTGTCTGGGCACCTGAGTAAAGATCTCCAGCCCCAACAAGCTGTATGGTAACACGCTTGAGCTAATCCAAATATTCCCTGCCTTGCTTTTTCTGCACTGCATTCCTCAGCCTCCCTGAAGGAAATGGAGTCTGAACTGTACCATTATCTGAGGAGCTGAAAACCATCAAAGAGCAGTTGCTATGTGGTAGGGAATAGGCACAGAGTAATGAATAAAATAGACACAGTTCAGGTACCTGGGTGGCACCTGAGTGTCTGGCTTTGGCTCAGGCCCTGATCCCAGGGTCCTGAGATTGAGTCCTGCATCGGGCTCCCTGCAGGGAGCCTGCTTCTCCCTCTGCCTAGGTCTCTCCCTCTCTCTCCATGTCTCTCACAAATAAATAAATAAAATCTTTATTTATTTTTTTAAATAAATAAAATCTTTAAAAAACAACAACAACAGAACAGACACAATCCATGCCCTCATGGAGATTCAAAGCACTTAAGTGATTCTATGAATCACGGGCCAAGGCAGGATGTGTTTCGGAAGCACATAGCAGATGCCTAACCTTTCTGATGGTTGGGAAAGACTTTCTGAAGCGTGAGCAGGATTGGCTCGACAACTGAAGGAGGTCCAGAGGAAGAGCATCCCAGGCAGAGGAAATACTGCAGATGGAAGCACTGGGGAGGAGAAAGAAAGTGGGGTATTTGGGGGAAAAAGAAAGTAGTGGTGTTTCAAGAGCCCAAAACGGGAAGGAAGCAGTAGTGAGAGATGGGGCTGCAGAGGCAGGCAGGGGTGGGTCATGGAGGGCAGAAAGAAGGAAGAAGTGGGACCTGGGGAGAGGAAAAGAGTGGGAGCAATGTAGACTGGTTGGGGTGGGAGGTAAGAAGACTCCAGGAGACTTTCCTCTACAGAGAAATGAGAACCACAGTCATTTCTGAGATACTCTTGGCTGGTAACTCCTGGGGCAGAGCCCTCGCCAGCCTCAGATGGTTGCCTTCCAGTGTCAGCACTCCCCAAATGCTTGTGGGTTTGGGGCTGCCTCCCATGGATGTTCCTCTTGGCCTCAGGCTCATCTGTGGTAGGCATCTTTCTGGTCCCTCAGGCTAGCCCCGGGTGGTGTGAGATAACACCAGACTTGTGATGTTGTCCTGAGTGGTCAGCATCTCTGAAGCAGCTCATCCAGATAGGGCCCAATTCCTCTGAAGCTGTCTATATCCACCTACCATCCCGACTTGCCCTCATAGAGCAGCAGTTAGAAGGATCCAGAATATCTCGCTAATGGCCAACTCATGTGTGTGAGTCACCCCCAAGACCCATCAGCAAATCACCCATTTGCTCCCTACCTTTCTTCTCTCCCCTTCAATGATTATTGAGTGCTTATTGACTCTCTGGAATTAGCACACACTGGGTAGCTTCACTGGCTTGAGCTTTATTCTCAGTTCAGGAAGCCCCAGAGCTAGTAACATTAATGGGTCAGGGTACAGGCTCCAATATCAAACCATGAGGGTTCAAATTTTCTTTTTAAAAACATTTTAAAATTTAAATTCAATTTGCCAACATATAGTATAACACCCAGTGGTCATCCCATCAAGTGCCCTCCTTAGAGCCTGTCACCCTGTCACCCCATCCCCTCCTCTCAAGGGTTCAAATTTTCTAACCACCCCAGTGACATGGAGGAAATCACTTTTACACCTCAGTTTTCTAATCTGTAAAACAGTTAACAATAGGACCTATTGCCTAGGCTGTTAGGGATCAAAGGAGAGATTCCTGTATAAGGCTTTGTGCGCCATAAGTGCACAGTTCATCACTGAATATCAGTTACTACTGTTTACATCAGCTGCTTACTTTGAAACAGGAAATTGTTAGGAGAGGATCTTTTTGGTGTTCTTCGCTGAGACGGTAACACAACAAAATTAAAGATATCTATGCTAACAGCAACGATTTTTCTATTCACTTCCAGTATTTATCATGAGATCATAATTTAAAAAAAATCCAGAAGTCCATAGAACTTTAGGCTCTCTTTTCTTTCCATCTACTCCAGTAAATCTGCTATATATAGACTCAGGAAATGACCGTGGTGTATGCAATCCACCCCCATATCCACGCTGAGATGTGAGAATGCTGGATTTACATTCCGTTCCGTCCCTTCCATCTTGTGAGATTGTGGATAGCATCTTGGAACCTGTTTCTCCTCATCTGTTCGACGGAGATGATAATATCCTCTCTGGGTTATGGGAAGTAGTGCTAACATGGGCAAAATGCCCAGCACGTAACAGAGGACAGCAAATGCTAGTTCTTACCCTTCCCTCTGATGTAGTGTGGGGTTCAGAAAAATGAGAGGTACAAAGGGGTAGTTGCCCCCAGGCTGGCCCAAGCCTACCTCCAGCCTTCCCACAGGAAGCCCCCAGTCTACCTAAAAGGACTGGAAACTACTTTGCTTTAAAGAAGTAGAGGGGGTCGGGCAGCCCTGGTGGCTCAGCGGGTTTAGCGCCGCCTTCAGCCCCGGGCGTGATCCCGGAGACCTGGGATCGAGTCCCACATCGGTCTCCATGCATGGAGCCTGCTTCTCCCTCTGCCTGTGTCTCTGCCTCTCTCTCTCTCTCTCTCTCTCTCTCTCTCTTTGTGTGTCTCTATGAATAAATAAATAAAATGTTAAAAAAAAAACAGGGTTATTT